ACCTGGAGTCCATTCTATGTATCATCATTTCCAGAGTAGAACCATGGACATGGTACATTCCCAGACGTTTCGCCGGCATCGTCAGTGAGTCTCGCCATTCGTAGCACCACATTACAACTCGTCAAAGGGACAAGTGAAGCTTATCCTTTGACCAAATGTGTGCTAAACAGTTATGGTATCTCCTCTTCTGCCCTGACCTATTCACATTTCCTATATCCTCCTATCATGCCTTCCCTGTCACAGTTTTTACCGTGCTTATTCTTAACGTAATTTCGTGTGCTCCTTCGAGCGGCATTCATGAAAACCCTTCACACTCCACACTGTCGTTATCGCCCCCTTCACCCTTGTGCTGGGAATGTTGACCAGAGTCTGTCATATTGTTACGTAGTCCTTCCCTGTGCCCTATCAGTCTCCCTCTTGCCCAGTCGAATCCGTCTGCTATCTACCTGGTATATGTATTTCACTCGACCCCTGACCCCACCTCATTTGTGCTATTCAAGGCGTATTTCGTCCATCCCCTGCAACTGGGTGACAAATCCGAAGCTAAAGCCTCTGAGTAAGTCTCATGGTCATGCCTATTCTACGTAGACCACATCTCTTGTAAAGCCTATTGTCAGCCAACTAGCTAAACTCGCCACCTCGTCTATCTTGTCTCTATTCCTAATACCAAGTATATAACTTGACATGAACTAGTTACTTGTGTGCAAACCCACAAATGTTGTGGTACTGCTGGCTTTGTTTAGGTTCAATGTTGAACCAAAACGTTTGTGGGTTGGCACACAAGCAACTAGGGCATGGTAAGTCATATACTTGGTATTAGGAATAGAGAGAGGATAGACGAGGCGGCGAGTGGAGCTAGTTGGCTGACAGTAAGTTTTTCAAGAGATGTGGTCCATGTAAAATAGGCATGGCCATGAGACTTACTCAGAGGCTTTAGCTTCGAATTAGTCACCCAGGTGCAGGGGATGGACGAATTACGCCTCGAATAGCATAGATGGGGGGGTGGCAGGGGTCGAGCGAAATACATGTACCAGGAAGATAGCAGATGGATTCGACGGGGCAAGGAGACTTTGATAGGACACAGGTACGCGGTACATTCCCGTGTCCACGGTCCGACTTTGGAAATAATTATGCATACAATGGACTCAGGACAAGATGCGTTCCTTTAAGTCTCCCTACCAATATGACCAAGTTGCGAAAACAAGGTCAAACAACTTCTATACAACGGAATGAGACTGCGACCACAAAAAAAGGCCACACCATCTTGGTCTTCATACTTTCGTTTTAGTCTTTAAATCACCTTAAGCGTTCTACTGACTAAATGATTAGTCCGTATAGTAAAGTAAAGAGTAAAATTCACCAACGCGTGAATTATTCAAATATTTTATTTAATTCAGAAGACTAATCTTTCATTTTTTAAACTTTTAAAAATAGTCTTAACTTATAGGATTGTTTTGGCTATTTATGTGCTTTAAATAGAAAACTTTATGGCTATTTTGATACAAATGCAATTCGTGGAGCGATGTTCACTATCTAAAAGTGTGATTGACAAAGATATATTACTAATAGTTTCCAAAAAAAAGTTGCCCTGCTAGGGATGGCAGAAAAACAGATATAATACCAATTTTAGAATGTCCTATGGGCCTGCATATTAATTTTGCCTATTTTATTAATAAGAAGCAAATAGTACATATTAAAACAAAAAATATAAAAACTAGCAATAAACAAATCTCGTGGGAAGACTATGAATAGCAAGCATGTCTAAAAATGGTACATCCGACGTAATTGCTGGACTACAAGCAATACAATGTTGAAATTGAATAAACATAATCAAAATAAGGCAAAGGGTAAAATAGAAGTGGGTTGACCTCGTTGTTGCAACTTGGTCTTTTTGTCAGAGAGACGAGACTTAGTAGAACGCACCTAGTCTGAAGTCGTCTGCCATTGTAGTTGTCATGATTCTCATCATCAGACAGTGGATTTGGTACATTCTCAAACGTTTCGCCGGGACCATCAGTGAATTTTGCTATTCTCAGCACCAAGCCACGAACCCATCAGAGACAAGTAAAGTCAATCCCTCGACAAACGTTCTGCCTAAAACGGTTACACTATCTCCGACGAGTATGATGCGAACAAGATAGAAGTTATGATATGACGGAAGTCTGATAAGAGGGAAAAGAGTTGATAGATGGACCAGGACAGAAAGAGGAGTAATAGTGTAACGATTTTCGGCAGAATGTTGGTCGAGGGATTGACTTCACATGCCTCTGACGAGTTCGTAGCTTGGTTCGGAGAATGACAGTACTCACTGATTATGCCGGCGAAACGTTTGAGAATGTACCAAGTCCACTATCTGATACTGGGGATTATGACAACTAATAGGCCAGAAGACTCCGGATTAGGTGCGTTTTACTAAGTCACCCTGACAAGACTAAGTTGCAACAACGATGTCAACCTACTTCCATAAATCGAAAGGAGACTGCGACCATATCAGAGGCTACAACGTCTTGGTCTTTATATCCTTAAAAGGTGATGTAATTCGCAATTACGAATCAGTATACACAGCTAAATCATACAACAGGTTGTATTATAACACATTAGTATATTAAACTCTACAAATAATCTCTGTGGTTATAGATAAAAGGCATTAATAAAGGTTGATGGATAGTCATAGAAATAGTAATTTTAAAGAGACAAAATAGATGCGCAAGGAGATGAAGAATAAAATGCATCTGAGCTTTGCTGAGTCTCAAGTTGAGCCAATGATCAGACGTTCAAATAAATTATTGATAAGACATGGAAGCATGGCTTCAACAGACCAAATGTATATGACATGCATCTTAACATTCAATTTACAGATTCTAAAAACCACTTTTGTAGTGGCATCACATTTCACGCTTTAACATGCAACTCGAAAGGAATAAATAGACGAGTATGTGCAGGTTGCTAATTTGGTGATTTTACAAGCAAGAACTCAAAGTAGCCAATAAACAAATACTTTTATAAATATCCTAGCGGTATATTTTATCTATTATTTTAATAGTATGTTTTATGCGATTTTTATCTAACTCTAAATGATCTTCATCCAGTGCTATATATACGAAAGCGTGGCCCATTAGTAGGCAGAAAATTAATATTAGAGTAGAGTTTCGAGACTACCAGTAGATCAGTAATATGAGATGTATTCACCCTATTTCGTGTAAGCTGATGAAGGACTGGTAGTAGAATTTTCCAACAATGGTATGAGTTGAGCTGACGTTTCCATTGAATTTCACATAGCCTTGCTTACCCAAAAGTTGTCCTCATCCAGGTTGGACTGCAGTTTCGACCTCGCATCGGTCTTATCAACACCCTCAAAGGAAGTCGAACCGCGACAATGCAGAATGGGAGCTTGACACGCTAACCACTCGGCTACACTGCCACGAATACCCTTGAGTTACACGTCATAAGTGAATTTCAAGGAAGGTCAGGCCTCTTTGCTATATCATATTCTTTAGTGGGAGTGCCGATGAAG